TATATAGAATTTTTACATTTTACCATTTTGTTTACGTTACAAGTGCCGCAAAGTGGATTTTTGCAATTGTCACATTCTTTATGGGTTTTGTATTTTCATTACTGTATATACCTAATATTTTGAAATTTCTAAATTTTGAGCGGAAGATTGAGAAGTAGAAGATCTGGACTCTTCAGGCAAGGGTTCGGTTTCAGAGTCTTATTCAATTTCTACTTTGCTGCTAAGTTTGCTCCCTGAACTTAGTATAAAATAACCTCCATTTTCGATTGTATTCTACATTTTTTATACCAAATGAAGGAATTATGTATATCTAAAAAGAAAAATTATCCTTACTAATATTATAAATCGGAAAGTGAGTTTGTTTGTTTGTTCCGCTTTCACGCCGTAACTACTTAACCGATTGCTTTGAATTTTTGCAGACGTAAAGTTAGAAGTCTGGATTAAAAAATAAGATACTTTTTATCCCGGAAAAATGTGATATTCTCGAGGAAAAATGAAATCATTGGTATAGATGGCGCTGTGTGTATATGTCACAGAGGCTTCCTTTTGTGACGCGAGCGAAGCCGCGGGTAAAAGCTAGTCTAAAATATCTTCTAAAACATCTTTGCTAGGTCTCAAATATGAAAAATAAAACCTGGAATAGGTTTTATTTTTTATTTTTATTCCTTTGAGATGCTCCTAACTTTTGACCAGTATTTGCAAAAAGTTTTGCAAGACGCATCTGTATCAACGGCTTTACCGATATTTGACCACTTAGAGTAGATTCCATTTGATGTCTTTACAAGATACAGTCGATAGTTGTAAAAAGAACTTGATGCTCTCCTGAGCATCTTCCTAACGCCTATCACGGCAATTACCACAGCAACGACTAAGACTACGAGAATCTGACTTATCAACGTCTGATAAATTCGCTCGAGGTATATCTTTCTTTTTCTTTTTAAAAAAGTTGCCCTACACTAGGATTTTCTCCTATGTCGTGGGTGCGGTTACAAACAAACAATATCACATACATATGACACCCAGACCCGGAACAACAATCTGTGGATCACATGAAGAGTTGTTCCGTGCGGGAATCGAACCCGCGACACGTTTCGCAGCAGCCAGTTGCTTAGCCACCGCGCCAACCGTGCAGTCAAGCCCATCTGGTCTTTCGGGTCACTTCCTTCCGCAGAGGAACTCGAACTGACATGTAATACAGCATAATTGTCGTCGCTATTACGTTTTGTACTTTTAGTGTCACAATTAGACTCATCATCACAAATATTTTACAACTAAGAAACAATTTTTCAATTTGAAATCTTCAAGACGTTGCGACCACGAAATACTTACAATAATTTCGTAAAAGTTCATAGGGACTTGAAAAGATGCGATCTAATTTGATAAACAAACTATAAACAATGAATAAGTGTATATAATTTGTATTCTACCCTCTCTTAATACACTTATAAACACTTATCGGTTGTTAGCCGTCAAATGACTGCCGCCATGTTTGTCGGTAGACCCAAGAAATTAAATAATAAACAAAAGAGTTGCGATTTATTTTCACATACCTATAGTTGCATTTAAACTGCAACTAGTAAAATAAATAAAAGTCACAAAGTCTCAGTTCAATAACTATAATAAATAAAATAAATAACTCATATAATTGCGGTCAAATGACTGCTCCCGTCTTTCTAGTGTTAACCGGAGTGATACCAAGGCCTCGCAGAATACCGACGTGAAACGACGACTGACGTAAGTGAGGTTCCCAAAGACCCAATTATTCCCCTCCGCAATCCCCCCAATACCCAAGGATCCCTATTCCCTAAAATCAAAATATCTTAAAGAATCCACACATTCTTATTCCCCAAAACGGAGAACGCCTCTAGTGTTTCGGCCATAGAGGGCGCCGATTGCTTTCCATCAGGTGATCTGAATGCTCATTTACCGAGACAACCCCTTAAAAAATGTTTAAAATGTTTCGGCGCCCAAGCTGTACTGAGTCGCACCGACAGCCACCGATAGTGTGCGCCAGGCCTTAGCTCCATGTAATACAGGGTGAGTCTGCTCTCATAGGGCTCGTACACAAAACTGCGATGCAATGCGATTTGAATTCGCAACGCAAAAAATTACGATGCGAATTGCTGTGATGCGATTTCGTGCACAAGGTAGTAGGGGAGCCCATGAAGGGATTTCGGTAGTTACTCGAGCGCGTCAGATTAACATATGGGGAAAACCTAGTGTCATGTTGAATATACCCAACATATATCCGATCTGATCAGAAGGGGGGGACTGAAAATTAAAAAAAAAGTCTGACTAAATAAAGTCAGTTTCGTCAGATTAAGGTCAACACCGTGCTAAAGGAAGTGCGTTTAAAAAATTTGCCCATTCCAACTTGATTTGCAAGAGTGGGGGGATTTTGAAGGGTTCTCGTTTGTACTCTCCAGAACATTCAACCCCACCATGCAAACTGGCAGATTAAGAGTTTTTTATTATTAAATACACATGGAGCATGTACATTATCAATATCTGACACGCTCGACCATTAGAACAAAAGTTACGCTTAACAATTTCAAAGATCTGTAGATTCCCCCTTCCCCCACTGGTGGAAGAAATTGTCACTAAACCATTTCTTCTTTCTATCAGCATATCTTCAAAATCCAGTAGGTCCCAAGGACGCTCAAGTAAATCCCAATTTAGCATCGTGGGCTCCCCTGCTAAGGCGTCTCCCAGGGTGACCGTTCCTTCGATGACCGTCAACCGTACTAAACGTATTTTAAATTGAAAACTAGGTCGTGACATGGATCGTAAAAAGAAGTGTGCACTTCTGTTTTTGCTTAGGAGATGTATATAGCAAAAAGAAACAGAAGATTTTGGCAAGATAAGAAATTGATGCGCGATGCGAATCAATTCGCAAGTACTAGCGATGCTTAAAGGGACCTCGCACATTTTTGCGATGCGCCGTCGCATCGCAGTTTTGTGTACGAGCCCATATATACCGACCGCATAGAGTTACTTAGAAATTTTGGAAAAACTATAAACCACATGAAGTAACAATTTTCATATTTGTGAAACAAACTAATAACTATCACCCATGTCTAAGTTGTTTTAGTTAAAATGTTCACTTACCCAGAACTAGAGTCACAGCCACTAGCCTCCGTGCGAGGGACTTTATTAGGTAGTGTGTCACAAAGACGAGCCTCTTTGTAGAACAGTTTTATGGCTTCTGCAGCTGCCTCATTTGGTGATAAGTTCCTGGCCTGCAAATAGTTAGGACTTATATAATACATACCAAATCATAAAAAGAAAATATTCTAAGTAAAAGAATTCTAAAAATAAAGTCAGACAATAAATATGGCAAAATTTATAAAATTCTTCATATTCATATTACTTAGTCATATTAGTGATTTTGAAAGATGAAATTTAATAATTATTAATTTGTTTTAACCAGGTGCTGGATTTTGACAATGTTTAGTTAATACCCTATTTCATCTTTTGCACAACCTAACCAGAAGTCTAGATCATAATTAAAAATAAATGTTAAAGAATAAAGAAAAGAAACATTTCAGTCTTTAACTGCCAGTAAAGGCAATAAAAAGTTAAAAAAAAAATATTTTGTAAAAAAAAATTCCATTTACTCCTCAAGGAGGTTTTCTTACATTGACACTAACATTCTGCCACCAGTTACCGTCAGCAATCAGTCACTTAGTTACGGACAATATGTTTGTACCTATATTACATTGATTACACAAACAATATTAACTATTGTTTATCATTGTGAAATACCCTACAACCTAACACAAAATTAACAGAAAAGAAACAAGTAATTTTTTCTTATATTTCTCATAGCTGGTTTTGTAAAAAGACAATACTAAAAGTTATTAAATTTATCATTTTGTAAATTATCATTGCACAACATTAGATCAAAGTGATAACTATCGACATAATGTTATTTTATCAGTAAAAATAATTCAGTTTTATATAACTACTACCATTTCTAAAACCTGAATGTCAATGTTATTGTAATATGGTTTGTGGATTTGTAAACTGGCTATTTGTTTTCTAATGAGATAAATGAAAATGTAAACAAACAAGACAATGGGCAGTGATGATTACCTCTCCACTTGATGCACAGTATTGATTGTCGCAGTTTGGATTGCCGCAGCCATCCAATAGCTGGTAGAAATACCTCTCGATCAGCTGTCTAGCAGCAGCACGCTTCATAATGTCTTCAGTACGACTGGTTACTGCACCAGAACATAAACTTGTCGTAGGCTCCTCCTCACTAGTATTCGGGGCTGGATTTTTTGACGATGATGCTTCGCTCCCCCTTCAAATATACACACAAATATTGTACTCGATTCCCCCTGCCAATGCGACGCAATTTCAATACAAAACAAAGAACGAAAATAGCAAGTAATGCCTAACCTAACCTTTGTTATTATTACGCATCAAATGGCATACTCAAATCCAATCACACAATCTTATTTGCCTATGTAGTAGCAGAGATGAACTGATTTTTTCACACAAAATTATCACAACAAAATTACCTTGAAGCTTCGTCAGTTTCGCTTTTCGAGTTCATAGAAATTAATGCGCTCCAATTCAAAACAACCCCTAATCGACACGTTACATAAATGCAGTTGAATTAATATGTACATTCGCCAGATAACTAGGTTCTTTATTGTTTTATTGAATTACACAGCAGGTATACAAAAATACCAACAACTGTTCTATTCTCTTCCATTCTATTCTATTTTCTGTCAAATTAGTCTACCATTTTGATTTTACACACTACGTTACACGTAAAATAATGTTCTTGAACTGCTGTAAAATTTAAAAACACTCAGCTCATTCGAGCACCTAATACTTCAATAAGATTTGGTTGTATGTTTTGGGCAATTGGTAAGTTTTTTATTAACATCATTATTTTCATTTAGCTATAATTTTTAAAATAATGAATAGTTTTAGTATAATTGACAGTTAATCATTTATCGTGAAATGGGATGTATTGACAGATACCATTTTGGGTAAAAATCTTACCTGGCTCAAAATACTTGAAGTCAAGGAATTAAAAATATAAACGAACGGATCTTTCTTGTTTATTCTCTTCAGTGGTCATTTGTCATCTTCATTCATTTCACTTTTGCTTTTGATTTCACACAGGACTCTTTGATTTTCTGTCATTTTTTGTTGTGACTTGTGTAAGTTTTGTTGTGCTAAAATAAAAATTACAAAAAATTTATACGAATCAAGATTTCTATCGCGTAATCGTGTTTTAAATAAGTAATAACAATGACGGAGGTTTTACCAGTGGAAGAAAACAGAGAAGATCGTGTGGCATCCATTCTAAAGGGCTTTCAAGTGTAAGTATCCTTTTTCTTTACAAATATTCAATATGTTGCGTGACTAGGGCCTATTATCACAACTATTTTCAAAGAGCCTCGTTAGGGAATTTTTCTTATTAATAATGCTTTGCATTAAACCGTTTTAGATCTAAAAATATCAATTTGAAAACTTGTGACTTGTTCAGTTTTATACCTTGGCTCAAGGTCTGATACAGTATGGATATCAACTTTGTGGTCTTTATTGATCTGATAAATATGTTTATATTAACACTACGACTAGTACCTTTACAAAAACACCACAAATCTACTCATTTGAAAGACAATACACAAGATACTTCAGCACTTAAACCCAAAACCATTAAAATACCACATGTCACACTGAAATAAGCCATACCTAGTAAATGTGGCATGTGTTAATTTTCTTAAAATAATAAACACGAAAATGTTAATGGTTTGAGAGAGATCTATTCTTATTTTTTTTAATTATTGTGAATTTAAAATAATGCCATGTGTGACAGAAACAACAAGAAATGTATTTGCTTGCATTTGCTCTTGATGAAAACTAATAAACAGTTTCAAAGTTTGGAAAAAATCTAAAGGATTGAGAGAGAGAGAGAGATCAAATTCTTAGACATCTATTTACTTAATTCAGTTTAAATGCCTATTATTAAATATGTATAAGTACATAATACATTCTTAGACTTGTTTTTGATTATAATACTAAAAATGCCACATGTGAGACATGGCAGAAATAAGCGAGAGATCTAAGTTGCACATGTTCATTTTTAAGCATGAGAAAAATGTTTCTTAAACCTATTTAAATTTAAGGCTTTGGGCAAATCTTCTGCTAATGTCCGTCACTGGGGACCCCCATAGTGTTTAATGGTAACTAGCAACCTTTTTTTTTACATATTTAATACAAAATATCTTCTTTCCAGTCTTTTTTCGTAGGTATTTAAGTAATATAAAATGTCTTCTTTACAGGAATTGGATGAATTTGCGAGATGCTGATACTGGTAAGTTTAAGTTCTTATTTGTCATATCTTGGCTGCAAGAAGTAAGTTCAAAAAAATACCACATGTAATGGCTGTATAGCCATCTCATGTTGTATTTTTGATTGTTGTTTTGTATTGTTAACAACAAATATTTTAATTTAGTGATAGACCTAAATTGAATACTCAATTGCTAATTATCAAAAAAAGTAAATGGTATATTGATAGTTTAAGAATATTGGTTGTATAATTTTTTTTTAAATCACTAACAATGTATACAGATTTATGTTTATTTATGGAGTTTCTTGCTCGTTCTTCTCCATAGGAATCTACACCTTGGAATGAGCAAATAGCAATAATATTTTTTTTTTTGACGTTTAAAAGTGCTATTCTGGCCTAATTGAAATAAATGATTTTTGACTTTGACTTTGACTTATGTATGTCTTTTCACTATATCCATATCTCATCATCACTTACTCCATTATAGACCTTATATCAGGTGATTGTGTACGAGTTCATTATTTTTTCATCTATTCCAGGCAAGATCCTTTGGCAGAATAGCGAAGACATGTCAAACCCTGACATTGAGCACGAGGCTCGCGTGCCCAAGCGCATCCTGAAGTGTCGCGTCGTGTCTCGGGAAATGAACTTTAGCTCCATCGAATCTATGGACCGGTTCCGTTTAGAACAGGTATTGTTTTGTATTTATTTATTAGGGAAACAAAACGGTTACATATTAAAATATTATGTGCAAAGTATTACACTAAACAGCTACAGTAAATAAGTAAACTACACCATTGCCCATAAAATAAAAATCGCACTTGTTAATAAAAGAAAAGAAAGGCAGCAAGTATATTTATACTAACAGAGAATCATCATCATCACCACAGCCTGTAAGTGCCCATTGTTGAGCAAAGCCTCTTCTCGCACGAAAAAGGATTGAGCATTAATCACCACGCTTGCTCATTGCCGGTTGGCGATAACAAACTTAGAAATTATGCGTCCAGGTTTCCTCACGATGTTGTCCTTCACCATTTGTCAGTGGTGTTTAAATAATCTTAGAAAGTAGATATGACTCGGAAATAGTCACATTGGTACTTGTATACCAATGCCTATGGTAGGTTTCGAACCTGCACTCACATGCATGAGAAGCGGGCGGCTTAACCTCCGGGCGACCACTACACTAAATCAATTTTTTTTTTTGTAATTATTTTCTTTTAAACTGCCTGCCTCGTTGGCCGAGTGGTCGCAAGTGCGACTGCCGAGCAAGGGGTCTCGGGTTCGATTCCCGGGTCGGGCAAAGTATTACTGGGTTTTCAAAAAATTCTCAGTAGTAGAACGGAGTCTGGAATTGTGCCCAGTATATGGCAATAGGCTCACCCCCTATTACATGGGACTCATAACATAAATTAGTGAAAAGTGGGTGTTACATTGTACAGTGGCATAATGTGCACCTCTACCTACCCCTTCGGGATAAAAGGCGTGATGTTATGTATGTTTCTTTTAAACTTGTGTGCACACAGTGAAGTAACTTGTTACTGGCGCAGTTATACCAGTCTTATTGCTGTATTAACTCTGCTTATTAGACCAAAGTTACAACCAGTGCCGGATTAGCCACGTAGCAAGAGTAGCAAATGCTACGGGCCCCGCGGATTGGGGGGCCCCGCGCTCAAATAGGTATTTCGTAATGACACCACTTCAACAGCAAGACTTATGAAGAAAATGTTTTGTTTACAAAACTACTACCAACCTACATGTAATTTGATTTTTTTTCTTAACGAAATTAACGAAAAAAGACAAATAGTCGGTATTTTGTATGTGTAAGAAAAGGAAAGTGACTATTTGTTCGCTTGGTTGGTGCCATTGGTGGGCGAACCGAGCCCGATTTGAACGAATCAAAAATGAATTAATTAAGGAACACTATGAGCCAAGGACGTCTTAATCATTTCACAATGTTGAATATAGAGCATGACTTGCTTAAAGAAGTCGATATTGAAAGTGTAATCGCTAAATTTGCCCATAACAAATCCAGAAAAGTTTATTTGTAACAGTTTTGTTTTATGTAATAATACCCTAAATGACAATGACCAAATTTGTATGGAGCGTGGTGCCTTTTTATTTTTCGCGGCAGTTTATTGGATGTGTAAAAACTGATGCAGAATAACATTACAAACAAAAAAATATATGGGGTCTTATATCAAAAACACAGTCCAAACCGAGTTAAATCAGTTCAAAGATGTGAAAATAGTGCTATATTATTCCTGTTATTTTGTTGATGGTGACCGTACACAACGCATATTTCTTCATTTACTTGTCAGAAATATTTTGTAATAAATGTTTATAAACGATTTCAAGGAATATAGTAAAGCTTATAGTGGACTTCTTTTTAGGGTTCCGTACCTCAAATGGAAAAAACGGAACCCTTATAGGATCACTTTGTTGTCCGTCTGTCCGTCCGTCCGTCCGTCTGTCAAGACTCTTTTTCTCAGGAACGCGTGGAGGTATGAAGCTTATATCAATTTATATCAATTACTCAGGTCTACTGTCCCTTGAAGCTGTGAAAAAATCAAACTTCTAAGCCAACGCAATCAAAAGATACAGCCGTTTATGCCGCAAATTTTCGACACTTGCAAGGGAATCAAAACCTACAGGGTGCTTCCCGTGAACTCAGAATCTTGAAATTTGGTACGAAGCAACGTCTTATAGCATAGATAAAGGAAAAATTACGAAAACCATAAATTTTTAGTTACATCACATAATATATATTTTTTTAATAATTTTAAACTTACTACCCATTTCCTCATAAACGCGTAGAGGTATTAAATTGAAATTCATACCAAATACTCAGGTCTATAATACCTTTAAGCTGTAACAAAATCAAACTTCTATGTCAACGCAATCTAAAGAAACAGCAATTTAAGCTGCATATTTTGAAACTCGCAAGTACTCGCAAGGGAATCAAAACAGAGTCTTTAACTGGCCACTGCTCAAGAAAAAAAAAACATTTCGATTGCTTGGCTAGCGTGTTCACTTTATACCTATGTATACGGTTTATGGCCTATGACAGATTTTCATGTAAGTTTCAATACCCTCTCAGTCGAAAACCCGCAAAATACTTTACTGAGCCCTATCACGAAATGCTATGTTTGTCAGCTGCGGCGTCGGTAGCGCATTGAGTAGTGGCAATCGTCGAAACACGAAAAAATTTTTTTTCTGTCTACTTCTCCCGACCTACTCCCGATTAGTCACTAATTTAACTACAGTTAATACTCTAATCTAGAGCTAGCATAAGATTCTGTACAAAGATATCGTCATTCAGTCACAAAGTGATGGACTATATTTCGACTGATCACATTATATAAAAAAAAAAATATACGCTCATCTGACGTATATCACTTTACAAAGTCGACGGTTTCCTTTCTACAAAAGATTATGCGAACTATAAAGTAGATGAGTCTCCCACCAGGAGTCAATGGCAAAACAAAATACACTTTATTAGATGTTCGCACGGCTACCACCGCTCAACCCACCACTGGTAACATAGCTGACGCTCATGAAGCTTCATGACACAACTCCTAGAAGCATCCCACAAGTTATCGACTGAGAGAAAATAGGTAATAAAAATTAGTGCCTGGCAATATGAATATATTGTGGTGTGATATGGTATTCCTGCGCCCGACGTACAGTTGCACGCAATTTAAAGTTGGGAATTGTGACAAAAATATGAATAACTAGCTACTTCCGCGCGGTTTCACACGCTCTGCTCGGCTCCTATTGGTCGTAGCGTGATGTTTTATAGCGTATAGCCATCCTCGATAAATGCACTATCCAACACAAAAAGAATTATTCAAATCAGACTTGTAGTTACGGAGATTAGATTAGTTATTCAAACAAACAAACAAACAAACTCTTCCGCTTTATATAATAGTATATAAGATAATGGTATAAGATATAAGATTTGAATAAAAAAAACCAAAGTAAAATGTTTGACTTCAGCTCCTTTCAACGGTCATAACTCAGTCCAGACTGAGATTTCCATACATGAGCCCTATGGGCTCACTTTCATATATGTATATGGGGACAATTTCGTTTGTGATATCATTCCAGACAATATCTTCCATAAATCATCGACTAACGCCAGAAAAAAGAAAGGCACCAAATTTAGTTAATTGCCCAAATGAGAACCGATAGCAAACCAAGGGCCCCTAGACAGAATTTGCTACAGGCCCCGCGCTGGCTTAATCCGGCACTGGTTACAACTTTTACCTTATAAGGAAACTTTTTAGAGAAAGATAATCTAATTTTTTAACCGACTTCAAAAAAACGAGGAGGTTCTCAATTCGCCTGTATTTCTTTTTATGTTTGTTACTCGATTACTCGAAGACGCCTGGACCTATTTCAAAAATTATTTTTTTGTTTAAAAGGGTAGCTTTGTCATTTTCACTAAAATGTTTACAAATATTGCTGTTATTCTAACAGTGGCGTAACTATTAACGGTCGGGGCTCGTGGCAACTTCATCGTTACTAATAAAAAAAAATAGATGAAATCTCTGAAGCTTGGGGCCCGTGGCATTATGCTGACTTGCCACCCTGTAATAACGCCACTGTATTCTAATAACATTTGTAAAGACATTGATATCTTCCGTCTCGATTCTCTTGCCTCTTTCAAGAAGAAACTAAAATCATTATACACAGTTTAAACTAAAGTTTTTGTTTCCATTTAGTTATGTAAGATTTCTCTATTACGCATGCTGTGTTCACATCTAGTAATATATAATCTTAATCAAGTTTGTTGCCGTGTTTTATATGTATGTTTGATAGTATTCAGTTTTGAGAACCAAAAAAAAAAACAAAAAAAAACAAATACTTTATTGCATTCCACCACAAGTTTGGACTTAGGTGATACTGATTACAAAGATACAGATACAGATCATTGTGGACCCTGTCAGGCAAAGCCGACCCGAAACAACAATTTGTGGATCACACAAAATGTTGTTCCATGCGGGAATCGACGATCGACGACGGTTTACGAAGCGTTTCGCGTCAAGCTTCCTCATGCGAACCGCTAAGGAATGGAATTCCTTGCCAGAGGCTGTGTTTCCCGTCAAATATGACTTCAAGTCCCGAGTGAACAGGTTGCTCATAGGTAGGCGTGCTCCATCGTCGGCCACATCATCGCTTACCATCAGGCGAGATGGTGGTCAAACGTCGACCTATAAAGTGTAAAAAAAAAATCGAACCCGCGACACGTTGCACCGCAGCCGGTTGCCCAGCCACCGCACCAACTGTGCAGTCAGTTTTAACTCGTCGAGTACCGGTTTTGTAGACACAATTATAGAACAATAGGTTGCGGTCACCGGTGACCGCTTGGTGTTAGACAGTTTAAAATCATTTCGAACCCGCGACACGTTGCACCGCAGCCGGTTGCCCAGCCACCGCACCAACTGTGCAGTCAGTATTATCTCGTCGAGTACCGGTTTTGTAGACACAATTATAGAACAATAGGTTGCGGTCACCGGTGACCGCTCGGTGTTAGACAGTTTAAAATCATTTCGAACCCGCGACACGTTGCACCGCAACCGGTTGCCCAGCCACTGCACCAACTGTCCAGTCAGTATTAAAATCATTATTCCCGCATGGAACAACATTTTGTGTGATCCACAAATTGTTGTTTCGGGTCTGGGTGTCATGTGTGTGTTTGTAAACGCACCCACGACACAGGAGAAAATCCTAGTCTGGGACAAAGTTTCTTTAAAAAAAATAATACAAAAAGTGACAAATAATCAATACTAAGAATTTGATACAATTTATACGAACAAAAAAAAACACTAATTATTAAATATTTATTAACAAATTATTGAATTTGCTATGTAATTTCAGTTAGGAAATGTCGACATCATCGTTCGCTTGATAAAATTGACGTGTAAAAGTGCTGCCTTGTAGCCTATTTGCAGAAATAAATTCACTTGTTTCACGGAAATATTCTTTTTATAATTCTATTCATTTTCGTCATTTTCAGAAAGTCCTATTCAAAGGGCGATGCTTGGAGGAATGGTTCTTCGAGTTTGGCTTCGTGATCCGCAATTCTACAAACACATGGCAGTCAGTTATCGAGTCCGCTCCTGAATCTCAGATGATGCCAGCTAATGTTCTCAAGTGAGTATTAGCAATTGTAATTTTTGTGGGTTATGGGAGACAATTGGTTGTACAGTAAACAATAAACATTGCCCTGGGATACTCGCAACACCAGAAAAGTTACGGTTGGGTTTGTGGCCTCTCGAGGGTGGATATAGTGACCTAAGCCGCAACTACACTCGTATGGTGTAATGACTGCAACTTAAGGTTGTTCCACTCTCTGATAATAAACAATAATTAACTAACTGATACCTGTCTCGTGAACAGAGTGATCGCAAGTGCGACTGCCGGGCAAGGGGTCTCGGGTTCGATTTCCGGGTTAGGTAAAGTACTACAGTGAAACTTGGTTAAGTGGGACCTGGATAAGTGAGAAACCTAAATAACTGGAACTCATACTGAGGTCCCAACACTTTGGCACTGAATTACCTCTGTTAGTGGGACAAGGTAAACCTCTATAACTAAGACAGCGAGTAAATTTTATATGCATAAACCTCTGTAACTGAGATAACATTGTTTGTTTATTCATTTTTATTCTACCCACAAATTCCACACGTAATTCCAAGTCCACCTCTATTAATGAAACCCTCTGTAAATGAGACAGATATTTATTTATACCTGTATATCTGAGACACTGGGTAAGTGGAATACCTCTATAAGTGAAACGACATTGCAGGTCCCTTGATGTCTCACTAAACCAGGTTTCACTGTATTTGGTTTTTGTAATGAAGTGGTACCACAGAGTCTGGAATTGTGACCGGTATATGGCAATAGGCAATAGGGTCACTCTCTATTACATGAGATTCATAACATATAGTGAAAAGTGGGTGTTACATTGTACAGTGGCATTAAATGCCGTACCGTAATGTGCACCTCTGCCTACCTCTTCAGGGATAAAAGGCTTGATGTTAGGTTAACTGATACCTATTGAAATTCTTCTTATGTAAGTTCCTAAGTTAATAAATTCTTAATCAGTCTTTATTAGACCTCTGATAAAACAAACTCAACCATTTTTAAAACTATCTTCTTTAGTATTTCTTATTACATATTTTACTAAAGATATGTTTATTTATTTTCCAGTGGTAATGTCGTCATTGAAACAAAGTTTTTCGATGGAGATCTGCTGATCACAACGTCGCGCGTCCGGCTCTTCTACGTGTAATAAGTAGGCACCACAAACAAAGCATTTACTAGTCAAACCTACTTTTAATGCATTTCCTCTACAACTCTATTTAGTTTGTCTATGAACCATCACGGCCATCACTTTACATCATAATTATCTATGGATTCGAAATCACAAGTGACCTTAAATTAGGTTTCGAAATTGGTCCCTATATATTTTTAAAGGCTTACAAGTACTTTTAAAATATAGAATAATGCATTCCTTTTACTTATAAATTAATTGTTAATCTCAAATGGCATGAGGCATTAATACGAGTTTATTTTACGCTTAAAGTAATCGTAACGAGTACGCGTTCGACACTCAGTGTGCTTACAATGTCAATGCAATATTAATCCATTAAAATCTTAATAATTATTCAATGTCAAACCTATACAACCCCCATCGTAGCTGTTAAAACAGCATTTAGAGTACGGAATATAAAGTCAAACTCAATACCATTTAGTTCATTCAATATCCACGTAATACGAATGCAATGGGCGCTAGTGTTGTAACTCAAGAGTACGAAATTTCTCTATACCAATCTCGATCGATCGGAATTGGATTCAAGAGTAAGCCCCTTGATTGGTTGGTTCATTGGCGCCGGCCAATCAGATTGCCAAACGCGTACTCGTTTCGAATACTTCAAACGTAAATCAAATTCGTACTAAGGCCTCTGTGTAAGCCTTTAAAAATGAAAAAAAGTCAATTGAAAAGTATTTCTTAAGTACTTACATACTGTAAACCTATTTGTAATTTTTGTATTATTTTTTATAAGAAGCATTACTCTAATGTACCTATGTAATAGGCTAGTTTCCTAAATTTTATTTTAATGTCCGTCTGGTAGATTATTTTAAAACATTACACAAGTATTTATTTTTTTCTCACAAAATTAAAAATGCTTTCGACGATATATCGATTTGAAATTTCGTGTGACGTCACAAACGCGTAGCACGTAATAATAACTACCGCCCACTTCTAAACTTAACTCCATTTTAACTGAGTATTGTAACTTGATACGAGAAAATAATAAAAATATTTGTCTAATACTTTTTCATTACCTAACTGACGGACTAAATAGATTTTTAATTTTATTACCCTGGAAACTACACAATTGCTGTGAAATTTTTGTACCAATAATAATAGTAGGTATTGATTTTATTGACATAAAATACACCTATGCATCTCAAACCTGCTTTGTCTTGAAGCACTTTTAGAATAAATGATAATTTTGTTAAAATGTTATGAGTGTTTAGTATTGTTGGTGGTAAATAATTTATATCGAGCTAAAGAGAAATATATCTAAGTATCTGAATCACACAAAACTATGATCTGATCTTGGACTCTCATATTTCAGTAATGGCGACCTTTGAACTCAGTACTCACTCTTCTTAGAGAATAATCAGTTAGGGCATTCCCTCCGAACTCTGAACTCATCTGTTTTTCCATTTCTGATATCAAAAACTGCTATTTTATTACCTACTAGCTGTTTCCCGCTGATTTGCTCGCATGGAATTTGATTATACAACAAACTTTCTACCCCTATTTCTTCCTCTATTATAGTTGTTGCACGTAAGATGAAGATGTTGAGTCGGGCCACATGAAAAAGGCCTTAGTTTGGACAGCCCTGCTCTTTTAGATAAAATTTATCTTACGTCAATAACCGAAATACAAAACTTTGTTAATTTTGTCTTTCTAAATGACGAACTTTTATACAACCTATTTTGACCCTTTAAGGGTAAATTTTTCTTAAAAATACTTCATACAGTGAATAAGTATACAATTCGAATTTCATGAAATTATTGCAATTAGCATTGATAGTTTACACTCTGCAATGATGAACCAGTCAGGACATGTTATTTTATGAATACATTTTCAAAATAAAACTTGCCTTATTGGTCGAGTGGTCGCAAGTCCGGCTGCCGGACAAGGGGTCTCGGGTTCGATTCCTGACTCGAACAAGTATTACTGGGTTTTAAAAAATCTCAGTAGTAGCACGGAGTCTGGAAATGTGCCCGGTAAATGGCAATAGGCTCACCCCTTATTACATGGGACTCATAACATTATTAGTGAAAAGCGGGTGTTACACTGTACAGTGGCATTAAGTGCCGTAATGTGCACCTCTCCTTACCCATTCGGGGATAAAAAGGCGTGAAGTTATGAGATGAGTTGCAAAATCAACATTTGGAACAACTAAATTACCTCTTTAGCTCGATGTATGTTATTTATCCGGTTGAAATTAATGACCAACCTCAATCTAGAATTCAATAGAACTAATTTTTATAATAACTCGTTAGACCCGAGTGAATAGGTTGCTTATGAGACGACGTACTCTATAGTAGACCGCATCATTGTTTACCACCAGGCGAGATAGTGGTCAAACGCCCATCAAATACGGAGTGTAAACTGAACACCCCCGAAAAACGCCGACAGGTGATTTTCGAGTTTTATTTTCATAAACGTATGTAATTAAATGTTTATTTTAAGGAATAATAGTTTTAATCTATCACTCAATGCTGATGTTGCATGAATAGCATGTAAACTAAAACTAATAAACAGTAAGAGCTTTTTTGGCATTGTTTTTCGGGAGCATTCTGTTTACTTAGGGCCGATTTTTCAATCATCAGTTAATTCTTACCTGTACAATAGAATTTAAAGTTGACAGCTTTTAATATGGAAGAATTGTCAAACATTGAATGTTATTCCTCAGTTAAAATTTATCTGAACATTGAAAAATTAGCCCTTCGTGAACTAAAAAGACATTGAATGAACTAAAACTAGTAGACGTAGGTACTATAGTCTGTACTTGTACTATCGAGTAAGAAATAATGAAAAGTGGCTTTTCTCAGTATATTTACGTAAATAAATCATTATTTTTAGTTAAAAGAATAGTTCTTTGGATTGAGATGGGTGATTGATTTCGGCCGTTATTAAATACATTTCTAGAATTATGTAAAGATATCATTGGATTTTATAATTCAATCGTTATCATAATCATAATTGAAATTACAGGAAATTAAATGTAATTATAATATATTTATGAGTACTATAGTTTTTTAGTTTTTAAGTTTTAAATACACTTAGTAAGGTACGCAATTTTTGGTGTTTTTATTTTATTTATTTTTTTTTTTTTTTATGGCATAAGCCGGTAAACGAGCAGACGTATCACCTGATGGAAAGCAATCGGCGTCGCCCATGGACACCTGGAACACCAGAGGCGTTACAAGTGCGTTACCGGCTATTTGTGGATTAGGAGTTTGAGGATTGTTGGGGATTCAGGGATTGGGGAGATTGGGGAAGGGGAGGGAAATTGGGCCTCCGGTAACCTCACTCACGCGACGAAACACAATGCAAGCGTTGCTTCACGTCGGTTTTCTGTGAGGCCGTGGTATCACTCCGGTCGAGCCGGCCCATTCGTGCCGAAGCATGGCTCTCCCACACTTATAATTTAAAAAAATCTCTGGCACATTCCTATATTATGAGCTAGCTCAGGTTGGCGCTGATCGTCAAGCGATTGCTCCACCTATCCGTCCCCCTATTCCTTGAAATATTTGAATAATCATAATTTTCCATCTATTATTCAAGTCTGCCAACTGTTGATTCGACATAACACCAAAAAGTCTCAATCTCGAGTCAGCTAAATAAAATAGTTCATCGACTAATTGAATTTGGAAACAAGATTATTTCTCTCGAAAATTGATTAGAGTGGCATCTATTGATCAATTATTCTAATTACAACACTTCAATTCTGTTCTGTAAGGATTTTTCTACAATAAAATAAATTTAAATCACGATTTTTGTATTTAAGACCGGAACAAAATGGTTAAGTGCTAATTTGTTTGTCGTGGTACCGGTACTGGTAACCGGGGCTCCGGCTCGACGTGCAGGAGAAGGAACCGGATGATTTTTAGTCAGTAAGAGTCTGACATTCCTTCCCGTCTCACCCAGGCGGGAGCAGTCATTCGATGATTTTCCCAATTAAAAAAAATGCTAATTTGTTTCCAAAGACAGAAATCAGACTTGCAAAATGACATTTTAGTTTCAGACTTTTACGAGAGATGTCGCTGTATAAAAGTTAAGGTATTGTTTTTTTATTATTTGTGTATTTCTAATACCTTTTATATAAGTTTTTCATTAACGTTTCCCAAAAACGTTATTAAATATTAGCATTACCTTCAAAATAAGCAGTAATCGTAATTTTTTGCGACGATTTATTTATTACGTGTAACATTTTAGTTATGCTTCTTTTCGCTAGATGGCGTTACGAGTAGCATAAAGTGAATATTAAAACTACCCACATTATCAATTTCCATATTCATATTAGATTACTAGTTCTTTCGTGTGGGATACAAGCCATATTTGTAAGGAAGTACATTGATTATGTGTATAGTGCTATTAGATATTAGATATATTAGTAGATAGTGCTATTACAGTATTTAACATTAACTTTGGTATTTGTTGATTTCAAACTTTCCGTGTTAGGTACGTGTATTAAAGAAATGAATCAAAATGCTTTTATCCTACTTAATACTTAATATGACGCTATATACTAAATATACGATTCTTAATTAAGTAAAAACTATGCATAACTTAAGGTAGATAAGTGTACAAGGATTTAGAAAAGTAGATACTTACGTAACCGTTAAAGATGGATTTTTTTTAAGGGTGGAAAATCATCGAATGGTTGCTCCTGCCTGGGTGAGGCGGGAGGGAATGTCAGACTTACTTCTTCTGCACGTCGAGCCGGAGCCCCGGTAACCCGTTAGGTTCTCCGCGACGTTAAAGATGGATGGCCAAATAATTGAACACCATTTTGATTGAATATTTAATTTCAGCCATTCATTGAAATGGATAACAACTCAATTATATTAAGTATCATCTACATAGTAGATGCTTCCTCGTCGCACGTGAACGCGCCGTATAAGACACATCCTCTAATAAATGAATAATGCCATTCATAGCAGTTATAACAATCAACGCGTGTTCTATTGGTAAATCGTGACTCGATCCCGTATCTCATTAGTACGCTGACACGTTTAATAATATTACCATAGAGGAAATGAAAAGCGCCTTACGTGGCCCGTCACTCGCAGGAAAAGCCGACCGCGCAGCACTCATGACGGGAACTTTTGTAAATGAAATCATTGCTGCCGTACATCGGCGAGTGGCGAGCCGCACATCCTCTTTCGTTAGAAGCGTTTCTTCGGACAGAGGAAGCACAGTCGTTTCGATGCGCATCACACACGACACTTCGCATATAAATAATAGAAATTATCTAATTATGTGCCGGCGAGTACTAGACTCGGACTTGTTGGGAATTGTAATTTAACCAGCCG